TGTTACGCAGAGCATGTGTTTACATAAAAAACCGATGAGTTTGCAGCCTGCGGAATTATATTCGTAAATATGTATATGAATGAACGAGAAGCTAAAAGCAATGAGCTGCGCGCATTAACACAGCGCGCTCAGTGCGAGTATTATGAATGTCCCACCGTAAACAAGGCGAATTGCAGAGCTTCGTTCCATATACTGCGTTATACATTCTTGTTGAAGCGATGATAATTACGTATGCAATTATATGCGCCAGCTCGTTAAGATGTAATCGAGACATCTTTATTGGCCTCAGGAAACTACCCTTGAATCGGCTAAACTTTTTGATTCACTGTCTCTTAGAAATACAGGTACTCGTAAATTCGGTATTCGCGTCGTACATGTACTTGTATTCGTTGTTCATAACAATGTTTCTGCTCCTGACTGATTTTAATAAACATTTATCCGACTTTTTTCCATATTCATAATACTTCGGTACTGTACAATATCGGTATTTGCGTACTTTCACGGAACGAGTCTCCGGAAATAATGAAGATCACCTGGAAAAAAGAGGGAAAAAATTGCCATCAAATATATTTAGCACGAGAAATGTTGTTTGCATAGATAATAAATTTTTCAAAGAAATATTATAAAAGTGACAACGCAGTTAATACTTTTTATTTTAACCTTATCACACTCTTGCTCGATGCTTTGCTTAGAGTAATTTCTTGCAGCTCGCACCAGACTGATTTATTAGAATTACTTTTTTACGTTTGTCCAGATCTCATTTGTCGCGTAACATTTTTCATGCACAGCTGGTGCGACTAGCGCAAAATTATTATAATACGTCTATGTATATATGGCTCGCCTGACTCTCGTAGAAGCTTCACAAGAGCAACGAGCAGCAGCAGCAATGCTAAAGATAATTTCAACATCTGCCCGCGCGCGTGAGTTTAAGCAATCATAAAGTTTTTCTTGGAATCAAATTTACTTATAGTGACATAGGGATGGATTATTTACCCAGAATAAATATATAACTACACTTGTGGCACTCATAAGTCGCAGCAAAAGCAAGTCTGCATCATTTCGCAAATGTCCCAGCGTTTGCTCGCTGCTGTGTTCGTGCATATCTATCTATATACACGTTTGCTCGTGTGCGTATGCAACGTGTAGAGTATGAATGCAGTTGCGTGAGTATATATGCATGTACGTGTGTATGCGCGAGTGTGTAAATGTGTACCCATTTCAAACTCGCGCGTTTAATACTTACTTGGGTGGAATAGCCGGCGTAATTAACGACATGTCATCCCATGTGCGAAACCCTTGAGATTAACTCGTTATTCCTGCTGTAAGCTGCGCAAAGCTCGCGAGCGAGCTTTGCTCAACGCTCGTCTCCCATGCGCGTAAAACAACCCTCTATTAGAGAAAACGTTATTCAATGATTCTTATACGTACCACTACGGATTATCGTCTCTCTGTCTCTCTCTCTCTCTCTCTCTCTCTCTCTCTCTCACTCTCGAATCGGTCCGATTTCGTTCGCGCATTTGATTGAAAATGAAAAAATAAAAATACAAGAAAAAAAAGAAAAAAGAGTTCGAGCAAATGCACGAACGGAATCGATTGGCGATAAACAAGCGATGAATACCCCTGTTTTGTTATGGTTTTATCGGGTGCATCCTGATGGCCGCTTGGCGACCTAGCGGCGTCTACGCGTGTGCGCATCACTGCAGGATATAATTAAAATGGATTATTCTTTGTTTTACTACGCGCGTGCATAACTAAAACATTGTAAACCGAAGTAACTTTATGTACCATAGGCGTTTCATACACACAAGCGCGCTTACTGCGTAGCCATGCTATATTATGTGGATTGTACTATCCATCCGGTTTATGCAAAGTACCGGTCGACCCAGCAAGTTAAAATTCGAGATGTTGATATTTGAGTCATATATGAGCGCATCCATCGTAAGCGGATCATTCTACGCAAATACAATTTTTTCGCTTCAAAGTATCCTGTGTTCAACTTGCTCACAAAAATTCCTCAATGCCAAGAAAAACATCTGTTTCGAGTTTTTGATTGCAAAATTCTACTTGTTCTTGTAGTTGTATCGATCGTACATCTTCCGATTTCAAAATACACCTTACTTATCGAAAGAAGATGCAAAAAATCTACAGAGAATCAAGTCCTGTTGGATGAAGAGGTGGTTAGAGTATTGAAAATATCGAGATGAGTGAGTACGAGTCAGGGCGCGATGAGCTATAAATCCGGTATGACAGCGGATCATTGCCTTTTCAACTTACTAATAAAACACTGGAAAAGATTCAAGCGCATAAATAGATCGATTTTTTTCTCATATTTTCATTGGTAATGTTCATTATTCTAAATTGAATATATTGTACTTGGAGAAGAACTTACTCAAGTTTTCAAGTCAAATTTTGACTGAAAAAAATTTTTTTTTGAGAATTTCTTTAGAAACATCACTAGAAAAAAGAAGAAAAAAGGTATTGATTTATGTATTTAGATTATTTGCTGGTATCTGGTGAGCGATTGTGAGTGAGTTGAACATGGAACTTTTTGAGCCATATTTGCGCGAGGTGGCTCGCTTATGATGGAAGCGCTCATATGCGAGTACCAGAGCAGCAGTTGTATTTGTCTCCCTTGTGTGGCTGTGTCGATATATGCACACACGAGAGCAATGCGTATATACCGTTGGACTTGATGCAATGGCGACAACAACGGGCCAGCTATCAGACAGCCGGAGGGAGTTCAACGTTAATGTGGTCCGAGCTACCAACAAATCTAACTGTTTGCTCATAGATATATATGAATGGAGATATTGTAAATGCGTATACCTATATTACCTATGTATACAAATATAGACACATATACACGTCAGCTGGTATGTATCACTACAACTTCCGCAGGAAGGATTTGTTCGGCGATTATAAACCTAGAAATGCCGAGACTCTCAACGAGAATAGCTTCGGGGGTCAACTATTAGCTGCTCCGATTATACACAGTAGAGCTTTAATAATTGTTGATAATTGTTCGAAACTTGTATTCGATTTTACATGTTTACTGCCTCGTGTGTGGGTGTGTGTGTGTGTGTGTGTGTGTGTGTGTGCGGGTAAGCTTTGATCAAAATCCCACAAACCCGGGCGAAATTCCTATGTACAGCTGACGTTTATTGAAACTAGCTGCAGATTTGGGAGCAATACCTAGAGCGTCGTCGGCGCGATATCATATCATCGGAGATTGCGTACACGATTCGTGAAGGCTACAAGGCATCGATGATATAAGAAATGACCCGCGGGCAAAATTTCTTTCATCGTCAAAACAGCAGCTCTTGGAAGTTTGTCATCGTCAAAAGAAGCAAAATACTCGTGAACTTACGAAATAAAATGTGGATAACGTTGCGGTATTAGAAATGAAAAGATCCAAAATATTTACAATTTCTTTGCGAGGAAACAGGGCCGAGGCTCGATATTTGGGAATATTTCATCGATATAGCCTGCGAGCAAGACCGAAGCTACTGTAGGATACTTCGACATAGTTGATGGGTAGTTTGTACTATGTTTGAACATTCTGCAAGAGCTGCAACTCGCATGAAAAGTATTGCAAACATCGTAAGTTTCCTGACTGGATTACACGGAGAACATTATTCGCCAACCATATCTCACATGCATTCGACTGAGCATATTTTATACAATAGGTGCAAATCCGAATTTTATATAAAAGTTACATGAGTTACATTGGACTTACGGAAGTTTTTTCTCGCCTTCGCACCGTGCTTGCGCGTGTATGATGTTTTTGAAACTATGACTGCTGGCCTTTCGTCGTCCACTTGCTTTTTCAATTTCAAGTTAAAAAAAAGTTTTCATCTCGTTATCAATTTTTACTACTTCATAAGTATGTAGACAGAAGAAGAGCTGCTAAAAGGGCCAAACTGAGAAAATTTGCTAATGTGCTGTCAAGCTCCTGATGCAAATTCAAACTGAACGAGAAATCTGCGAAAATACGAACTTTTCCGAAAAAAGTAGATAAGCAGTTCTATGTATATACAAACTCGTCTCTCAAGGTACCATGTGTTCTAAAGTATTATGTAGATGGTGTAACAGATTGTTATTTACCAGAAGCTTTTTTTTTGAAGAGAGTTTTCCTGAATTTATTCTTAGTGCAAGATGTGAGAACTGTTCGTATACAACATTTTTTTTGAAAACAAAACCAATTTGTATTAGAGTTAACACACGAGTTGGAAAAGTTCCTTTTTCAATGATACAAGTTCAGAAACAGAGACAAAAAAAATGTATAAGTGAAACAGAAATATATAACTTGTAAGATGTTAAAAGTGGAGATGAAAGTCTAAAACAAAGTTTTAAAAAAATCTAACGACATTTATTCTTACTTTGTGACTAATATTCTACAAATAAATGATATATTATTTACGTATTGTACATCATTTTCTATACAATTATACAGTTGAATAAAAGTATTCGTTACAATTACATCTTTATCGCTTCCCCTCGAAATTCAACTCTATACATCATGAAACGTATTTATCAAAAGTATATTTAGTAGCGCAAAACCATATTTTTGAAAAATAAGTATTTGTGTAAGAAAATATGTAGATAAATCAGCTCTACGGCAATAAATCTGAGATTTCTTCTATTATCTTTTTGAAAAGAAGTCACTACTGCTGACTGAAGCGGTAAAAGTGAACACTGGTATATACACTGGCTCACTACGTCCTACCATATAGTTTGATTCATGAACCCCGGCGTCAAGTCTATATTGCTTTACCTTGTCAAGTTCGCCCTTATACTCGTTTTAGCAATAAAGAGAAAGCATTCGTGAAACTGATTGAGGTCAATGCACCTGCTTTATTTATTTCAAATCAATCTTGAAAGAGATTTTTCCCAAAAAAATAGTTTTATTCATTGAACATTAATTGTACTTACCATAAAAAATGAATTTTTATTAAAAGAATTTGTTTTATAAATAAAAAATTGTACATTTTTTGTTACAGGTTTTTGGTTCATGGACCTTACCAGCATTTATTTGCGATTTTTACATAGCAATGGATGTAACATGCAGCACCAGCTCAATTTTAAACTTGGTAGCAATATCAATAGATAGGTAAGGGTGCTTGGATCAAAAATATAAAATTTACAATAAATTAATTTTAGAATAGATGCTACTGCGATGAGTACTCTCACTTGAAGGTTATGCTAAAGCTAATATGTAATTTCATAAATTGTAACTATTTCACAAATGAGCTCTTAAATAAATCTTTCCTTTTCGATGAAATCGTTCGATTTGCAAATTAGAATGTGGGAAATTGAAGAAGCTTCGATTGTGAATCGAGAAAATCTATATTTTGAAGTGCATTTGTAAACAATTCATACTGTAATGGATTTTTTACTTATGTACTTATTTATGTGCCCGGTGGCTCAGACATTACATGTTAAATAAATATTCCGGATGTTCAAATTTCATTTTGGGTTGATATTCATTTTAAGCTATTATGCTAGGTCAATTATTCGTATCAGTCATTTTCACAACTAAAATGTGATAGCATATGAAATGAATAATTATATTAATAATATAATTAAGTAATTTAGTATTTATCAGGTGTGACGAACCGCTGTTGATAATAGATGCGGGTGTTTAGTATGGAATTCCTGTCAAATCAATTATATAATAATGTTCTATTCCTGCCATAATTATAAACACGTTGTAAACACAAAGTTCGATGAGTAAAAGACCGAAGGTGTAGTGCAGTCCTAGTTTCAATTTATTTCAAGCAATAGTAATATAGATGAGTCAACTGTTTCAGGTACATCGCTGTAACGCGGCCAATAGAGTACGCAAAACACAAAAATAAAAGAAGAGTGTGGGTTACAATACTGCTAGTTTGGGCGGTGTCAGTGGCGATTGGCAGTCCGATTGTTCTTGGCCTTAACAATACTCCCGACCGTGTGCCGGATCTTTGTCTTTTTTATCATACAGATTTCATCATCTACTCCAGTCTATCCAGCTTTTACATACCCTGCCTTACGATGGTTTTTCTATACTACAGAATATTCAGTGTAAGTCTCGCAGATTTTCTCTGTCTCCGTCGCTAATTTTAATCACGGGCTTCATTTGTCGTTGTTGTTGGAATTGCAGTCATCTGCCCGATGATGCAGACCAATCATTTCAATGCTTTTATCTAATACACTGTACTCATACACTATATATCCCTTACGATGAATAAACCAAGTTTTTAGCTTTCAAAGTATAGGTAAGTGAATAAACAAGTTTATGGTATGAACAACTTTACATATTTCATTTTGCACCATATAACACATCCTCAGTCAAACAAATATAACATTTGAAAATCGAAACGTGTTTCCAACTTACCTAAAAAAGTACAAGAATCATGTAAAGTATTATAAGACTAATAATGTATTATGATGATTAAAGTCAAAGTTATCAATTACCACAAATACACAGTATAAAAAATATTATTTATTTTGAGTCGTTTTAATTTCATAAACACTTGTAAGAAACAATTTTTAAGATAATATTCATTTATTTTTTTAGGCATTGCGAGATAGGGAGAAAAAAAAACGAGCAAATCGGAAAACTAATACAACCGCTGAAGTAAAACAAGGATGTATAATAGAAAATATAGCTCATACACGTAGGTAAGTTAAATGATACTAAAGGTATTGTATTTTGAATATTTCATAGTTTATTACAGCTTAGAATTTAAATACTTACCAAAAATATTTATTGACTATCTTTTTCTTGTATAACTATTTTCTCATGTACTATACTCTATCTTTTAAACTTTTTCGTATTTGTGATTCGCAAGCTCTAAAATCAGTTTTTCTTGAATTATAAAATTAATATTAATGAGATAATCTGAAATTATGAACTAAAAATTTTCTTAGAAAGATATAAAATTCGAATTTTTTATTATTAATGGACTAGTTAGTTAGAACAGTAACTATTCCGTATAATATCTAGTCTTAAATATTCAAATAAACAATAAAATGGTATCGTGTTTATTTTCTAATCAACACGAGATTGTTTTCTATCTTCAAACAAATATTCTGTAAGCATGTTAAAATCTTTCATTATTTAAAACTTAGTTTGAATAAAAATAAAAATTTTTAAATAGTATTTTGAAGGTTGAAAAACCTTTTCAAGTATCATAAAAAAAGTAGCTCATCAGAATGCCGGCCTCGGCTTTTGAGGACCTTGGCAAAAGTAAGACACAAGCTTACACTTAAAACTAATTAAATTTCATATCTTTGATAAATAATTTACTAAAAATCAAAGTAGTTGTTCATTGTAATGAGTCGTTTTTGCTGCTATGATAATGCTTGGTAAATTCGAGTTCATCTGTAACTGGTAGCGTATGTCGTAAGCAGTAGGTGCTTTTTAGAGTGACATTTAACTAAGGTCACACGTAGTGGGTATTCTGTGGCAAGGTTTGCGGAAACGGCGCTGGGAGCTGCAGCTTTGGTGGCACCGGGTATCGAAGAGCCAACGAACACGGCCTCGGGAAGCAACGAAGATGAGGACGAGACGCCCCTGGATCCCGTCGTCGTCATTTCCAACGACAAAAGCCAAGAGTTTTTTCTTACTACCGTCGATGAAGAGACAGCGTAAGTTTTTTTCATAAATATATTTCTCATCTTGGAATAATTTAATGAAGTCCTTCGAAATATCAAAGTATAAGAAGGGACAAGATCGTTTGTAATCTTTAGGTATTTAATAAATCCTCAATAGAGATCTGACAAATTAAGTCTCAACGAATAACTCGATTATAACGTTACGTTCATAGAAAAAGTACACCTTACTAATGACGCTAGATTAGACACAGATCTATACTGTAGCTGGGCGAATCACATTAGAACAAGACAAAAAGTTCCGGTAGAAAATTTTCTCCTCTTCTCTCTCGCTCTTTCTCTAGATAATGAGAGAATCAAACTTTCCTCAATCAACCGTTATCCTCATGATTACAAACTTCCTATGGATTAATTGCAAAAGTTTGGCCAAATGAAAATGGTTCGAAAAGAGATCTAGTGCCGATAATTGATAGATGGTTGCATACGTGCCGCATCCATTGAAACAATTATATTGTAACTCGGGCGCATCAAAAAGCAGCTGCCAACGTTGATCAGTAACTTGACGATCCATTGTTCCCTTGATGGCACAAAAGGCTGGGTTTAGCATTTTTATACACACTATTTTTGTTTTACACTCTTGCAGCTAATGAGGTCCATGTGCCCTAATCAGCTAAATTTTCTAAATAAAGAATTATTGCTTCTGTCGTAGCTATTGTTTTCTCTTTAGCCTAAAAAGTCTTTCCGCGTACTATGTTATGTTCTATATACACATGTATAAACTCGTTTCCGACCTCGTTTATTTATAGATATACGTAGCCAACGATGCTACCACACTCTGCAGGAAATTAACTTTTCTTTCTCTACTTGAAAATAAATTTGTACCGTATACAGATATATAATAAGGCAAAGTTCGTATTTTGCAACGGGGTAATATCTAATTTTTTTTTAACCCTTTTTTACTTTTTAAGGGCACCGTTGAGGAATTCATCTCGGTAAAACTAATTTCATAGGACTTTTTTTACAATGAAAATTATAAGCTTCATTGTGTTTTGAAACAATTTTTTGCTGCGATAATTTGTTTCTTTTGACCTCAAAATAAATAAGGATATAATTACAACGAGAGAGAGAGAGAGAGAGAGAGAGGGAGAGAGAGATTCGAAAATCTTGTATCGTTATCCATACACTCTTTTGTACATGGGGGCTTCTTCAAGTTTTTTTATTTGAAATCTGCAGCAATACTTTTTTATCCCTATAATACTACAATATCTAGAAAAACATACTACAAGGACTTTTCTTCTAGTTTTTTTTTATTTCGCTCTTTGTCAGTGGACGGAAATTAAAAGTCGTGCAATTTTAAAAGTTTTCTGTTGAAGTTCACTCTTGCAACAGCAGACGCGACACTCCTTAACGGAAAACACTGAACAGCAGCAGTTTCTATTGACCATTTTAACGAAGAAATAAACTACGAACGTCTCGTGGCTCGAACAAATTAAACAATCTGACTCAAATTTTCATAGAGTATCGGCACCAAAGTGTTATTTAATTAAACAATTTGTCGAAATTTTTGCAAGAAGAGCGTTCAGTGTTGCTCTTAGCAAGAAATAGAATTTGTTAATGATCTTAGTTAGGTTTACTTTGAAAACATTTCTGAACAATTACAAACGTTACAAAGGCTATTGATGAAACTTGTCTGATCTTAATGATATCTGGCGAGAGTATTGATTTGTGCACCAATTACGGTTAGGAGCTTCTTCGCTATTGAAAGCTATTGATGAAAAACTTTTCATTCCTAAAAAACAAAAGATTAACAAGTTGAGCTTTTTGACGCAAAAAGAACTTTATCATCCGTACAAAATGGAATACAAATAGTTTTTCATAATATAAAAGACAAATATTTCGCAGTAATTTTTTACGACAATGGGATTAATCTAGGGTCAAGTACGAATAACCGCGAGTCGTTCTATCTTTTAATTTTTCCTCATTGACGTTTTATTGTTCCTCGAATTGAATAGAAAACATTTTTTTCTGACGGTTATAATACTTTTATTATATCATGCTTTTCGTGGATTTTCTTGAATAACATGATTTTATTTAAATTTGTTCATTTTTCCTTTAAAATTTTCTCTCAAAGACTTTATAAAAGTTGAGTAGAGAGATAAAAAATATCTAAAGCTTTAGTGCTTATGATTTGATGATGAAAACATGTATTCCAGCAAAAGATTCGCTGCTTCCCAAGCACAAGCTAACACCAAAGAAAAAACCCGAAAGGACTCGGGTTACGAAGCCGGTGCAAGTAGCATGGTGTTAGCAGAAGCGGTTGAATTGACCGTCGAGACGTCTTGTCAAAGTCCGTACTTAAGAGCAGCTTCGGGGCCATCGTCGTCGACCTCCTCGTCTCCGCCACCACCGTCGGGCGGACCATCGTCGCACACATCGACGACAAAAACTAAGAAAAATGGCAGTGGACCTAGTAACAAACACGAGCTCCAGCAAATAAGAGGATTCGGTTCTTTATTGCCCTTACCGTTTGGCAGGTACATATCATTGAAATTATTTATTTTCATGTACATATTGCTGACCAACTTATATTATGATTATTTTTCTTTAATAATTCGTAATTGCTAGAGGGATGATAAATTATAGTTTCACACTTAATTTGTTTTTCAAAAGTACATGGGCCGTAAGATTAGCGCTGGTACCGAGCTACTTTATGAATAACTTTTACTTTGTATTACAAACTTTTAACCAAACTTAGAGCCAAAAGAACTTCTTATCATGGTCAGTATCACTGTTAAAAAGTTTTTCACGCTAAAAACTCGAATTTTTTAGTTAAATTTTTGCTTCTGCAACAAACTCGTAAGACTGCGACATGACACTGCGCTACATTCCAAAAGCCTTAATGAGTATACATGTCGTTAAAATTTAAAAAATCAAATAGATAAAAAATATTCTCGTAGATTCATTCCAGTTTTTTTTTATAAATTTTACGTATATATTTTAAGTAATTGAATGTCATCATAAGAATTTTTTCATATTACTTTAAATTCCGGAAAAGAGGATGCACTTAATTCAAAGATAGATATAATTTTTCATTTCACGGGAGACTACATTATCGATTTTCGCTGGTATACCAGGACAACATATTCGCATTATTGACATGCAAAGTAGGGGGCTACTCTCGAACGACAAACATTTATCCCACTTGTCTCTAATGCAAAGCAATTGAAATTGCACGGCAGGTCGAGTAACAGGGCAGCAGTGAAGCCAAGAAGCAGTGGAGGAGACGTCAGCGGTGGCGGTGGAGCAACTGGCGGAGGTATATACGATACAAGTATGGGTGCTGTTGGCGTCGGCAAAAAGGAGCTGCGAAAAGCCGAATCAACGTCGTCCACACCTGGCTCAAGATTTAATATTCGTAAAACTACAAAAGCAAGCAAGAAAAAGGGTGACAAAATGTCTGCCAAGAAAGAGCGCAAGGCTACCAAAACTCTCGCCATTGTCTTAGGTAAGTTATGCTTAGCACTAAAGCGTTTATTTTTATACTATTTTTTTAGTGGCATAGAATTTTTTTAATATCAGAAATAGCGTTAACAGCAAGCGTATGTATTTTGTTATTAGAAGCCTATCCAATATAAAACTTCCCTCCCACTGTCTAAATTTTTCATGTGCGTTTTATTGTTTTTGTTTAGTCAGTTTCCTGCAGATACTTAGGGATACTTTTCTTCTTTTTTATACATCTAAGTAGGAACTTGTACAGTAAAATAATGTGTGTAGAATTGGTTGTTCAAACCTCTCTTTCCTCCTTTGCGTTCCTGCCTCTCTATGACATTAAGCGTAGCAGCAGCAACAGCAGGAAGAAGTAAAAAATGCTTCTGCATAGGATTACTATTGTGTGCACGACTTTTCTTTTACAGACTTCCGAGAGAGACCACTTGAATCAGCTTCGTAATTTTTAATAAGCCAACCAACGCGAGCAATGAAAATAAACATAAAAGTGAAGCATAATACGAGGCGCTTGGTATATTAACTCTTCACGAATATTATAATATTATTTTCAATTCTTAGAGGAAAAATTTTGGAATACAAGGAAAAGTGCTGTCATTTTTTTTAATGCAATCTTTATTCAAACTTGAAAAATAAAATTTGTTGTGTACAGGTGTATTTCTGGTATGCTGGGTGCCGTTCTTTACTTGCAACACCATGGATGCCTTATGCTCCAAGATGAAAAAAGATTGTCAGCCTGGTGTTGCAGCTTTCATCGCAACCTCTTGGCTTGGCTACATAAACAGCTTTGTCAACCCTGTCATCTATACTCTTTTTAATCCGGAATTTCGTAAGGCCTTTCGTAAAATCATCAATTTTTAGATGAGTATTTGTTGACTGCAATGACTTTTTTGTGTGATAAACAATTGAAACTAAAGTCTATTAGAAATTAAGTAATAACTTTAATGCCTACTGCAATAGGGTAAGTAGATAAAATTATTCTGATAATTTTGATCGCTTACCCTCTGAACACGTTAAATCGTTCAAAACTTGCTAATTATACAATTTTAAGCAGCGCACGACCGGACAGCAAAGTATGTTTTGGTTGTGAATTTCCTGATTTTTTAATAGACAATGATATCAGATACGAATAATTTAGGAAAGGTGCTCATTAGAAATTACTTTAGCTATTATCTGTTAACTATCTGTTAACTATATTGTTATAAATAAATATCCAGAACTCAGTTAACATTGAGAGTGATAATATAGCTACGAGCCAATGAATTCTGGCAACGATCAGTTAGACGAATAAGTTTTACATTTCTATTCTAGAACTCAAAAATTCCTAATTCTTATAAAGAGTATGATTTCAACCAATGTGACGTGTAATTTTTTTTTGTATTTTTTAAGCTACATTGTCTAAATTTAGAGTCCGAATAACTTTTTTTACATTCGGTGTTTTTTCGGATAAAAAGATTACAAGTATTATTAAAAAAATTTGATTCCCACGTTAGACTACAGAATTGAATTAAGCGCCAAAGTACACAGAAAAAATAAGTCCTCATCATTGATATTGATGCTTACCATTTATTTACGTTACTGTGTAACTCATAATAAAAAATTATTGAACCGTCCTAGATACTTTTATTTTTAGAATAAAGCTTGAATTAAGATTTAAAAAACAGTTATAACGAAAATATCCAACTTATAATCAAAAAGGAAAATCGTGTTCATTTCATCCATATTATTTTGTTATCATTGTAAAAATTATAACTGCATTATAAAAATCAACTATAAATGTTGAAATTAGGGTCACCGAATTTTCAAACATATCAAAGTGAATTACTTATACCTTAAAGAAAATGATGTACTTTATCATACAAAATGAAAAAAATTTTACACTGCCTGAAACTTATGGAGTTCTTAGACGAGCTTATTTATTCATACGAAAAATTCGTGATGAGTCTAAAAATGATTGTTTTTTTTTCGAATAATTACTTTCTTTTTTCTATAATACATGATTAGATGTTACTGAAAAGTTAGGTGAGTCAGTTACTGACTGAATTTTTATATGTCATCTTATTAATTTTTTCCCCCTGGTGGAGAGTCTGTCTATGTTTATTTCTCATACCAGAGGTCCGTCCTTCAGAACAATCAGGTGCTATTAAATCTTTTATTTATCATAAGTGCAGGTAAGCCAAGTTTATTTAACCAGAAGTATGCACAGTATTGAAAAAAATAATTTGTTTTTATCAATTAAAAAATAATCTTTTCATTGTTAATCTTCCACAAAAACAAATGTTTTAAATTGTAGTGATTTCGATTGATCCATGAGACTTTTTTGTTTCATCAACTTTTTCTCTAAGATAAACAGTTTCCGAGAAAAGCAATTAGTTTGGTTGATGAACTTTTCAAGTTTTTTCAATCATTTTTATAAAAAAAATTGATCGGGAATTCCCCGAAATATTTTTTTATCTTGATTATCCCTGATTATATTTATATTATACATTTTTACGGGGAAAGTAAAAGAAATTATAAAAATCCATTTTTGCTCAATTTTTCATTCCTTAATCATCTAGATATCTTTTACGCATCCGATCGTATTTTAATTTTAGATTCTAAAAGGATATTAAATTTTGTATCAAACAACAAACTTGAATGGGCGAGGACAAAATTTTTAGATTATAGTATCAGAAAAAATTTCAATTCCATACCTTTGGCTAAATCAAAGATCTATGTATTCTAATGTTTAATGATTGAGCTTTGAAAGAGCCAACTTTATGTTAGAAATTCTTATAAAAATTTTTAAAATAGTTTTAAATTCTGCAGTGAATAATTCTCGTTAAACTTATGATTTTGTACGTAACCTAAAAATATTTCATCCAATTGTTGTTGCCAATTCGTATTTAGCTTTTAGAGTCTACAATTATATCCCCATAGATTTTAAGAACTAATTAAATACTTTTGGGATTAGTGATAGCCGTAGATGTTGTTAATTTATTTGAAAATAAATAAATCTGGCTGTTGAGTAATTTCATTGGTAACTTGAACACTAAGAAAAATTCGTTCACTGCATGGAAAGTACTGATAATAAGTAGACCCCACTGAACTCCGGATCATGGATTTGATCTTTTAGGTTTGCATTTTTTTATTTTTTTTGTGTTGGGAGCTTTGTTATTAGATACAAGGAGACCTCAAAACAATTTTGAGCAAATTCGTGACTCGAAGTTCATATGGTCTCCTTATGAGTTTCATGTAAAATAAAAATTAAAAATTCAGGTCACAAATAAAATTTGTGTGGTAAGAAATCTGTTTACACGTAACATAAATTACCAGTTTTTATGATAGATAAAACACAGTTTTCTTTAAGCAATAAACACATTTCTTTCAGTACAAAGTCTTGTAAATATATTTTTACTAGATTCGTTAATCCTAGATAGTTTTCAAATAACTTTTCTATACTTTCAACAAAAACTATGTAATTTCTAAAAGTTACTAATATGTTTATAGAATTGCTGTGAAGTAATTGTGACTAAAAAAGAACTATGAAAGATGATTTTTGTTATTTCTAGCAAAAATTCAAAAAAGCCATGTCAAAGTCATTTTATTTTCTCGTTTTAACTCATGAGCAGCTGTGTACGAAAATATTCTGAAAAAATTGAGAAGGTATGTTTTAAATTTTCAATCTAATTTTAGTTTCGGCATTTTATTTATTCAAAGAAATATCTTGACTGCCGTAACGGAAGACGTGTTAGAAGATTATGAGTATGAAATTCGAAAAATCGTATTTAAAATGTAAATCTGACTGCTACATGATCAGTTAACTATTAAGAAAGGAAAATGTGAATTTTCTTACTGTGTCTCTGAATAAAAACTATTGTATTTTTCTATCCAATGGTGTACATAAAATATTCAAGTGCAATCTAAAGGTACATGAACAATATTTCGCAGTGCGAGGAGTACTACATAAGTTATGAATGTTCTGTAGCAATTAACAGATTCTCACTCTTGTACATAGATATTGTAATATCAAAAAATGTATTAATGTAAAAATGCTTCTAACTCAAAGTCATTATTCCAGAAATTGCCAGCTGAGTCCAGAATAACTGGAAGATAGAGTGCATTGTAAAAATAAACTAAAATTAAACTTCAAAGCTTCAAGCTATTTAGAAAAATTGTAAGGCAAAGTCGACAAATATATTAAAAAATTTTGCTCAAGATTTTGTCTCAGACTGTACAGATGAAAAATGTTTAGCTTATACATAAAAAATAATTCGTTCTTATGTGCATTAAGAAATTGATGAATAGAATAAAACCATGTGCACAATTTTTTCTACGTGCGTTTCATATGGGTATCGATATTCAAATGTCACATGCTGGTCATTGCTATATCTCAATAAATGTATATAAAGTTGTTTAATGTTTAATTTGTCCAAAACAGCCATCTTTATAACTGTAGGTTTCGAAAATCATATGAATTTCATTAATAGTCTGATCTTTATAAAACATATGCTTTTTTGAAAAAAATTTTCGATCCTTTGATTATTGTGATCGTGGTCTATACAGGGCATAGTTTATAAGAAACTCGGAATATAATATATAAATAAAATAAAAAAGAGTCATATAATGTAAACAATGTGTATAGTAGTAAGAAATCATGGACGGAGTCAAGAGTTATTATAAAAATAGAAAAGGTATCATTGGTATACGCAGTCGGTGATAATGTAAAATATAATTGAATGTTGCTGAATTTAAAACAAAATGTATGAAAAATATATAAAAAAGCAGCGTTTAATGATACGTCGTTATTAGTGTGTCAAAATCAGGAATATCGTAAATCATGATAAAATTATCAGAGAAGAAATATATCATAGTAAAAGTTAATATTTGTTTGAAATTATTTTATATCCCTGATTTATAAACAAATGAATCTAGCATCAAATTCATTTAGAACTATTTTTCTTTTAGGCTCATTTCATCATAATAAATATATAAAACCTAAAACGAACAACGAAGTCTTGAATTCATGATACATAATTTATTCATTATCTAGGAATTTCTCTTATGTCGACTTTGTATACGATCGTTCAAAGCTGCAACTGCATTATGGTAGTGTCGTAAAATATCAAAAGTTGCTAGGCGCAAATTTTTTGTGTTAGCAGAAGATGACCTCTATTTATTGTTTTAATATTGCCCTATAAAAAAATTCATGGACGCATTTTTTCACTGTTGTAAAAAAAATTTATAAAGCGATGAATATTTGAAAAATCAAGTATCTACAACTATAAGGTAAAACAAAATGTAAACTTGAAAGTATAGAACTTTAATAATATAAAAATTCGGACCTAAACATATACATAATAATCTAAACTGTTATTGGCATCAGCATTTTAACAGCTTTTTGCTCGGTCATCAAAATACATCGCAGAATTCATCATAAAAATAAGCAACAGAAGTGTCGACAAAATTTTTAATTTTATATTCAACACGCAGAAGACTCCGTTGTAGCAAATGAATTCAGCTTCATCGATAACCATGAATAACTGGTCTTTTCATTGTCGTTTTACTATGCAGATCAAGCGACAATTTCTCCATTTGAAGCTTACCAAATACCCTGACCAAAGCCAAGCTGAAATAAAAGAGTGCGTTATTTTTTAATATTTAATCGCACCGCCTTTAGTTTTTGATCGATATTGAATTTACATATTTTCGTCTCGGTAATCGCTTCTACTTTGTTAATATTTACGGCTATTATTTCAGGATTAGTATCAAGAGCTATAAGATCCGCTATCACAAACAAAGCTATCTCACTTTTTGGTAATTGGGCTCAGGTGATCGGAACGGTTCTTGAAGACTTAAACTAACTTTTCCAGTTTCCAAAAGCGCCGGCTTCATCGGCTCTGAATTACTGGTTGACGTGAGGTAATCTATTCCACCTAGCCCTCCGAGTTGCAGCTGCAATCCTAAAATTTATATAAGACTTGAAAAACTGCGTTAAAATATCCTTCCTTTATTTTTTACTTTAATTTACGTTCCATGTGACGCATACATTCTAAACTTAGATATTTATAATATAGGTGAAAAATTAATTTTATATTACTAATAAGACTTACCAGAGTTAAGGGATTGTGCTGGAAACGTCTGCTTTACTCCAGCATTATTATTTAACATAACAAATGAACCTAAAAGTAGAAATACTGGTTAGACTCTGGAGCCGAGACTTGAATGTGTCATAATTCAAAATTTACCTAAAGGAATACCCGAATTAATTTGCGCTAGAGGTTTTGTTTGTTCATTATTTCCCAACAAATATATTATTGGCATAGTCGGCGCTAGTTTGATTGCATGAAAAAAAATGAAGTATTTTAATTTTAACATACAGATGAACTCTAAGCATCAATCATTATCACATTATACCTGCTTGCACGACAGGTTTTTGCAAATTCCCAAAGTTTCCCAGGGATATTTGATTTTGTCCTAAATTATTCGTGAAAGGAACTAAGATTTAAAACGATGGTATTACATCAATGTAAAATGAGCTTTTCAAATTCATAGAATGCTTAATTATTACCAGTAGTGACCATTAATGGTGTTCGTGCAAAATCAAAACTTGGAAATGCAAGCTTTACTGGAGCACTTGTGGCTGAGCTCAAAGTTGCTGCGTGCGGTTCCGTTGGTATACTGAATCTCAAAGGTGCAATGTCTTTATTACTATTTTGCTGATGCTGGACTTGAGCCTGGACTTGATTATACTGAAAGTACGGCTCAAGCTGGTTTTTCGTTTCATAAACGACAAAGTTTTGCTTTAAGTTAGGACTCATTTGATGCATTGATTGCAATTGTTGCATTTGCTGTAATGGTTGAACTTGTAGCCTAGATTGATCCATCGACAAGGGTCTATGTAAATTAGGCGAATCATCTTGACTAACTGTCCTACATTTTTAAAAAATTATAAAATAATAAATTGATATTAAAATGGAAATTCGATAATGAATGAATAAATTGACATCACCTAAATTCATAAGACATTTTTGGTGTTTCGTAAAACATCATGGAAACAATCGGTGCTTTATTATTTACATTATTCTGAGCTGCGTTAAAATTGGATTTAGGCGTGACAGACATTATATTTGTAGTTGTTGAAGGAGTGGAGTATTCTTGATCGACCATCTGAAACAATTACAAAGTTTTAAACGAATATTACTCACTTATCGAGCGACCAAAAAGTTTCTACAGTTTTAACTGGATTTTCGTTCACATCAAAAGCTCCGCGCATAAATTTGAATTTTCGTTTTAAACGTTTCTAGATACTCGAGTGAAATGTTATCTGAAATTAAAATCTGGCAACATAAGTTTTTGCAAATTTCTTTCTACCAATAGATCGAAGAAGGCTCGGATCGATAGAAATAGAATTTTGTATAGTAATTATAAAAGTTGAAAAAGATTCAAATCTATATTCTCGCGAACATTTATTGACGATATCGAAAAGAAATTAGTTGAATTCTAGCCATTTTGTTCGTCAGTGAATGGAAAAGATTCACGGAAGTTTCAATGTTCACCCCATTGGCCTCTTGACCCAGTTTTTCGCTGCTTACCACGAAGATCCTCGAAAATACACCGGTAATGAGACGATTGTACTTTCCAACGCGTAATTCGATCACGTCCGAATGCGAGTGCGAAGGGGGTGCGAGCTTATACATTTTCTTTACCTCAGTGCCAGTATTGCTGGCAGTGGCCGGCGCCGTATTTGCCGAGGGGGACTCACTGAGCTGCATAGGTGCAATAGAGGCGATTTTCGGCACGGGCGTTGCTGCTACAGCTGACGCTGACGTCGGCGTTTCCGTATTCGGAAAATTTGTAGCTGGTCGCTGTTGCTGCAGCGAGATTTGAATTTCACTATTGCCACTAGGGCTGGTTTCTCTGGCAGCGTTGCTTGTCGACGTAGACGCCGAGGACGAGTGTACTGATATTGGCGGCGTCGCCGTTGCGGTTGTGGCCGATTTCGTTGTCGACGTTATCTCAGCTGCACCAACTGGGTTAATATCCGAAGGTGTCACGGCGTTTTCCGAGGCAAAACTGAGGCCCTGCTCACCTGTAATCAACAATCAACCCTCTTTTTTTTACTCAATTGTTATAGCATCGATTATAGCTCGCGAATATTATACTGAAATTCCGGCGAAGGAAAACAATGCGAAATCCTGATAAAGGAAATGAATGGGGTAATAAAATATCTTAAAAGGGGGGTAAAAATATGATGGGTAATCAATCTTGAGTTGCCTAATTGATTGATGCAAGAAAATAATAATTAAGTGAGTCCTTTCTGCAGGATAATTATGATGAAGAACATCATACGAAGCAAAGTACGGAACATCAAAAAGTTCATTATGATAAAATTTGATGGATTTGTTCCACACTTTTAATTACATACATATGCGTAAGATTCATTTTAAATGCATGTACTTATTTGAATCATTGAGGCGAAAACAAAATCAAACGTAGTGATCATTCAGAAGTTTGTTAATTAACATGCAGCGCACGCTTCGCACTAGCTCGTACAGAATAGATTGCTTATTAATCCCACACTGCAAATCCCGCGTGGAGTGTTGTTTTCGTTAATCACGATTAGACATCTCGGATGCTGCACATGCACATTCATCCAGAAATGCCTAGTAATAGATTGTGCGGGGCGCTCATATATGCCTCTGCGTTTGTAGCCCTGTAAAGTCATGATTCAAACGCTTATATATCACTCGGCGCGGAAACGTCACCCCTGCGTGCGAGCGTGCCTCTGCTGCTCGCGCACGTACATATATAATACGAGTGTGTATGTGATACAGCATTGCATTGAAACCGCAGGAAAGCACCTATTGCCTCGAGAGGTGCGTCCTTCGTGCAATAGTGATTGAATCTAGCTAATTAGCTTACTTTCTACGCTCTGAATACTATAGATATCCGCTGAAGTTTAACCGCATCGTCTGACGTATCACACGCATTCTATACTAAGTTGCGATGTGTGCATACGCGTCAAGCTCTGAAGCCGATTGTTTCATACGCTACTCTAGTTGCTATTTTTGTTAAGTAATAATGAATTGCTCGGGTGTAAAATATATAATGTGATTAGTACAGTAGTTGGAATAGACGTTTGCTCGGTGAGAAACTTCCCTTGCAAGCACAGTACTCATTAGTTCGTGCATACATCTAATATGTTTTTATAAAGTTGATGTCACGTGAAAATTTAATTTAAAGACCTTTTGCTTTCGAATGATTTCCTCCCTGTATTATCGTAGAAGCTTTACTCGATGAAAGTAAAACACGTCATAGAGATCGAACTAACAAGTTTATTTCTTACCAAAATTCAAATGATTCCCGTGTTCACCGTAGGACAGCGACTGTTTTTGCTGCACCACGTTCAGTTCGGGGTGATTTTTTTCCTCCTGAAGTAAGCTCAAACGTAATCCTGCCAAATTATTCGGTCGTTCATCTCTTACTGATAAGGCCAGTTGATGCTTGGAATTCTCGCTCGATGCAGGCGGTGGTGGACCTTGGAAAATTCATTTACGTGATTTTAGCGTTAGTATTAATACCGCAAATATTAACCAGCTATTTAAACCAAAAATTTTGGAATTCACTTTAGTATCCTAGTCATTTTATAAGATTTTTATTTTTGCACTCAATTCCTTTTTTTAAATTTCTCGCCGTGGGTGATAAACATATATTTTTGATGTTAATGAAATTCAATGACTGCATTTGAAGTGCATTTAAACAAAGGCTCTGTGTATTTAGCAGCACGGAAATGCTGGTAGCTAGGGAACAAAATGAACTTTAGTTAATAAAAAATGTTCGAGTAAAGCCCCGTCAATGCGTCATCAAATTAAAAACACCTTGAATAACCCGTTTCATGGAAATGCAGTATGCCATCAAATGATACATGACACAAATTGTCACGTGGTAACATATATAAATTGCGCAGCCTGAAAAACACGTTTGTGCGGCGGCAAGTGCAAGTGCAAGTGCAAACTTTTACCATTGAAAAATGCGCAATTTTAAAAGATGAAAGTGTTCGCACGATTGCTCAATTATTTATGTATACAATTCTCTAAAATGTAAGTTAACGAGCACAATATAAGTAGTCGAGAATAAATTTTTTTTACTGACCTCTGTACTCTTCAAAGTAAGACTTGACCGCACCAAAATTCAATGGCAGTTTGTGATAGGACGATGAGCGATATGAACTTTTATGGGAGGGAAAGTAAGAGGATGAGGGCGAGTCGTAATAATGACTAGCACCACGATGATAGTTTGAAGGAGCCTCTTCGTTAAAGAATGGCGTCTCACCGTCACTGAAAGACTCGTGCCTGGAGTAGGAGTTCAAATAGGAAGACAGTCGAGAAGAGGATCCGGGAGATGAGTCGAACAAGGGTGGCGGTGACGAGTCACGATAGTTGAAATGTCGTGGTGGCCGTAAAGCATCAACAGTCATTGCGAATGCAATGAAAATCGTCTGTAAAATAAAAAATCAATTCTCTTTCAAAAAATAGTCCAAGAAAACAAGAGACGTGGTTAAAAAAGTTCAAGGTAAAAGACTTATTTAACTATTTTAATACCTTCTTAATATTATGAAAATTTTTTTGACGATAAAAATCAATTATTTTTGCAAGTCTACAAATTGAGTTACGTGAATGAATTATACGCCATAATATTATGCAGTAAGCACAAGAAATTATGAAAATTTTGAAAAGCATTTATAGTTTTAAATTAATAAAACAATGCATAGGTCAGAATATATGACAATTAAATATGCACACTTATTTAAATAACTGGTCACGAGAACATTTGAAAGCATTGCGATCACTATAAGCACATTTTCTTGGTCACACGAAATTTAGAAAAAAATATTGTTGCTCTCCTGACTCACCAGGATCTTCATTTTTTGATGAATTTTTTCCCTCGATATTTTTAATTTTCTGACACTTGATCGCTCGATAAAATGACCTCGAATCTCGAGGCTGCATCACCCTGCACTGCAATGTCACTCGATAGACCAGCAACGCCTAGTTTTATAGACGGAGGTTTTGATCGAGGTTTATTTACCTCCACTCTTTTAGAACTACGCCACTGTACATTTAATTGCGCATTGGAAGGAGCATGCGGGCCTTTCTCCCATCAAAGCTATACCTTCCTACAAGCTACCAGTGTAACAAGTTGAAAAAAAAATTCAATCAAACTTTACCTGAAACTAAATCTTTTGGAAGCTGTTCGCATTGTTGAGTGTAAAAACTTGGTTATTATTAACTGGATTTTATTTTTTGCTTTACTGATTCCTACACATCTCTTTTTTTCTATCAAGACATTAGGTATTTTATCATTGCTTCAAACGAAGAGTAAACGTTTGAAAAAATTATGCCTCATTGATTTTTTAGTATAATAATATTTATTGCTTTGCAGTTATTTAAATAATATTCAATTAAATATTTTCAATGGCTTCCGCTAACTCTTTTTGTGAATATAGCGTAAGATAATAGCTTTTTAAACTTTATCAATTTTATCTATAAAAACTTAAAAATGTAATCATTACTCTTTATAATTTATAAATTTAAGTTATTCCTTATTAAATTAGCCAACTTTGTATTATAGAAAGAACAAGTTTTCATATCCACTACCAAACGAATGGCGCGCAACACTAGACGGTCATTGCTTTGTCGCTAAATTAAAAACAAGTCCTTGAATGCTTACCATATTCGAGCAACAGACAACATGTTTGACATGTAGTCAAGTATTAAGGAGCTTCCTACTCCCCAAGGAAGTGTCGATATCTCGCGTTTCTCAGGTTAGGTGAGGTCTCTCTTATGGCACTTACAATAACTTACATCAAGATTATGGGAATAAATGAAACTGCTTGTACACACTTACACGCAATTATTGATTTAGGAAGCTTCAAGACTCGTTTTCAGTGCCTATACGTGTTTATGTTTTTTAATTTTCAAAAATATATCAATAATTTTGATTTAAATTTATTTTCTAACAAACCATTTCATTTTTTTTCTTTTCAAAATGCTATATACATTACCTCGCTTTTCAGAAGTGCACTCGAAACAATGTATTTTAATTTCATTTTTAATTGACGAAAGTTACATTTACCACTTACAGTGTGCACAGGTAATATTTTATATGCGCTGATTATGTATTCCAAACACGAAAGAGCATCAGTACAAGTTGTATTTAATTCTCTGAGGTAACTTAAAAATCAAGTGTACTTTGCAAGTCTATTTCTAATGCATAACATTCCACCTCGTGTATAAGCAACTCGAGCCGTTCGAATAGCACACTCAACTGCATATAAAATAGAGCTAGACACGAATGTAAAATATGAAAACATTTTTTAATCAAATTTCGAGTTTCTGATTTACACTATGCTAAATTTACTGTTTTGAGGAAATATTTTACGGTTTTAATCAAATTACAGATAGATGTACAAATCGGTCTCAAAATACGTAGATTACAATAAATGAATTACAAATGAACCTGCTTGATCTTCACGTTCTCGAGTACTCTCCAAGCTATTTCCAATACTTATTTGCACTTTTAATTCTAAATTTCTCATTTTATTTTTCCAACTTTCAACAATTTATCGTAATAGACTTAGTTTATACCTCTGCTTCGTTTGTGCTCGCTAACAATTCTGCGCGGTCATTTTTAAATGACCACTCGTACGGATTCAGTTCATTTAGTAAGTACGTATACGTGTATTACAATCCAGTTACATAGATTGGCATATTTCATTAGGCCATGCTCGCTTTAATAAGCTTCTCTTGTTTCTTTGTTGATGTTAGCATAATAATAATACCGTGTGAAGCATGTTTTCGTGTAAGCATCTCACAGTGCCTGGGTGCAGTTTTATTAAAGGATTCAAAAACCTCGGATGTGTATACGTATATTATATATATATATACATCGCGGTGTAGCAGAAACTCAATCTAACTCGGTATCAAAGCCGGAAGTTTAACTATAACACGTTATGCACCCTTGGATATAAATATAATCTATAAGTTTTCGTTAAATTATCCGCCTATATGCTAAAAGTTTCGGGTTAAAGCGATAAATCAATGAAAAATCGAACCTTTCTATATGCTAAAAGGGCTTACAGACTTTTATATTGTAAATTTATGGAGAGTTATGGTCCAATTCCAATGCTTACTTGAATAAATAGCGTAGAGTTTGATTTCGACTGGCTTTTTGAGATGCATTGATTTTCGTATCTCATTTAGCAAAATCCTTTGTTACATCCGTAGCAAGCATTTTGCGAAAATTTCATTGTTTATTAATTAACGATTCATCGGCTTGTTAATAAACGCGTTATTTAATGATATATGAACTCGAATTTATAATCCATTTTAAAATACTTCCAGATATATTATGATCTATTTTCGTTAAATGCATTTATGATTAAATTGTGTTCTCAACGAATTTTAATACAAGAGATAAAAAAAACTCGATTGCTCCAGTCAAAATTACCGTGTATTTGTATTGTCTATCGGTCTTTTTCAATGATTTATATTGTAACACATTCACAGAAACCATCCTCTGAACAAAAAACTTCCTTGTCGCGATGCACCGACGGATCTGGATTCACTTCGCAATAAGAAAAACAGTCGGTACCCGAGAAACATATCGCTAAAAAATTAATCATACACAAATAAATTTTTAAACTCAAGTTTTACAATTGATAATAAACTTTTACTAACCAAGTGGTTTGGAACACTGGCAACGATTGTTTACACACGACGCATCTTTATCGCCACATAGTGGAAAACAGTCAACTGGTGTGCTACATTGTCCTATAAAATTACAACGTAATTTATTTTAAAAAATTGTATAACTGATTGCGTACACATGTTTTATGTTATTACTTACTGCGAGCACAACTAGAAGAAACTAACAGTATCAAAACAACAAAATAAATGATTTGCATGATGCGGTCGAGGCAGACGTGTTGCTCGAGAAAAATTTTACTCGAGACTGACAGTACCCGATATATCGAAGTAACTCTGACTTATAAATGGAAAATCATGATACATAATCGGCCTTGAATGTTTCATCACGCGCTAATGAACCAGTTTTGATTATAACAACATTGGTTATTTTTAAGATCTGACGAAGTGCCTTTCATTTTTTAAATATGCTTTGCAGTCTTCTCATCACTTGAAGTTGAACTATATAGATCTAATGTTATGCTAGAACTTTCAGAAAAACGAACAAAAATTTTCAAATTATCTTTTTGCAAGTACCATTAGCTGAAACCATTTCAATTTCATACAGATGTAATTTATACTTTACTACGAATACTTTTGTATTTTTTACTGTTATCTCTAATGTATACTAGATTAAGTATTTGCCCAAGCATAATAGCTTATTCTTTTAAAAGTTTAGCTTAGAGAAAGGAGCAAGTGAGTGAGAATCCCTGTTATTGACAGCGACTTGATAAGAGACATAAAGTTTTAAAAATACGTTTCAGGGAGTATGTTCGGTTGCCAGAGAGACAGAGAGAGAAAGAATTCAAACTTTCATGCAAATTTTTCTATATACTTGCGTACCAGTAGTATATACCTGAAGGACTCCTGAATATCTTGCAGGGATATGTCTTTCTACGTCTACCTTGAACCGTTTTCCATTGCACTCTTTCCTCCAGGCTGTTTTAGACAAAGCCAGCTTGTGTATTCTCTTCTTTGAAATCGCATAACGTACACGTAAAAAGAGGATTACATGTGAATAATATATTCTTATATATATTCTCAAATATTTGAAGTATTCTTATTTTTACCCTTCCCTATGCTATTTCCTTTAAATGTCTTTAGCTTTTCAGTATCGATTTCTTGCTTTTTTCATTTGTAAAGTGGGAACGCATTGGACTCGTGACTTTAGCTAAGAAACAATGTCCAGTTTTTTTCATTCCCTGTTCAAACGAACAATTACACACAAACTAGAAAATTATTTTGCAATTATAAAATTGCGCTCCCATCACAAAATCATCAAGCCATTTGAGTTAATGAAGAAATTTTTTTGTACGTCATTTGGCCATTTCATCCTTCGTATTCTCATTTCCATCGGAGTAATAAGAAACAGACCCTATATTTTTTATTCATTTACCACACAACTAGAAAATATTTTTCTTTCAACACAAACGATGCCTTTGAAGACAGAGAAAGAACGAGAGAGAGCGAGAGAGAGAGAGAGAGAGAGAGAGAGAGAGAGAGTGCACAGGGGGAAGAGAAAGATGAGTTCAACACAATTATTTTTATTGCGCAAACTACACGCTTGAGGTACTCTAAAAAGGGCGATGAAATATACGCGAACCACACGGAAACTGCTTTTACCGCAGATTATATACGTGTATGCACATTGCACGTATGTACATCTATGGAAAAGATGAATATTCTGGAGATTTCTAATGCACTCTCCATCTCTCTCTTACATTGTAGACATTAAAAATAGTAGTATTCAAGC